TTTTTGCTAGTTCTGTGAGGTATACTATGGCATTTTTATTAGGATTTCATTAAATCTGTATAATAGCTTGGAAGTATGGCTATTTTCACTGTATTGGTTCTGCCTATCCAAGAACAAGGGATATCTTTCTATTTTGTGATATCCTCTTTCATCTCCTTTTTTGGAGTACTGTAGTTTTCATCATAAAGGTCTTTTACTTCCTTGGTTAGATTGATTCCTAAGTATTTCATTTTTCTTGATGCTATTGTGAAGTGTCATTTCCCTAATTTCTGTCTCAGTGAGTTTATTATTTGTGTACAGGAATGCTGTTGACTTTTGAGTTGTATCCTGCTGTGCTACTGAATTTGGTATTCTAGATGTCTTCTGGTGGAGTTGTTGGAAGTCCTCTGTGTAGAGTCTCATGTCATCAGCAAATAATGATAATTTAACTTCTTCCTATCCTATCTTTATTCTTTTTCTTGTGTAATTGTTCTGGCTGATATTTCAAGGTCTCTATTGAATAGGAGTGGTAATAGTGGACATCCTTGTCTTGTTCCTGATTTTAGAATGAAAGCTTTTAGTTTTTCTCCATTTAGTATGGTGTTGACTTGGTTTTTCATGGATAGCTTTTATCAGATTCAGATAAAGACTATTCCAATTTTCTGTAGGATTTTGTCATGAATGGATGTTGGGCTTTGTCAAATGCTTTTTCTACATCTATCAAGATGATCATATTATTTTTGTCTTTGGCTCTGTTAATATGGTGCTTTACATTTATTGATTTGAGTATTTTGAACCATCCCTGCATCTCTGGGATGAATCCCACTTAGTCAGGGTGTATAATCTTCTTGATGCTTTGCTACATTATGTTTGCCAGTATCTTAGTGAGAACTTTTGCATTTGTGTTCATTAGGGGGATTGGCCTGTAGCTCTTTTTTGGTTGGATCCTTCTCTTGTTTTGGTATCAGGGTAATGCTTGCTTCCAGGAATGAGTTTGGGAGTGTTGCTTCCCTTTCAATTTCATTAAAGAGTTTGAGAAGTAGCAGCATTAGTTCTTCTCTAAATTTTTTATAGAATTTAGCAGTACCTGGGCTTTTCTTTGTTGGTATTTTAAAAGATTTCTTCAATTTCATTGACTGATACTGGATTATTTAGGATTTCTATATTTTCTTTATTCAGCTTTGCTAATTCACACATATCTAGGAATCTGTCCATTCCTTCTACATTTTCCATCTTATTAGAGTACAGGTGCTCGAAGTAGATGTTGATGATCTTTTGAATTTCTGCAGGATCTGTTGTGGTTTCACCCATTTCATCCCTAATTGCATGGTCTAACTTTATTCGTCTTTTTGTTTTGTGAAGGAATGTCCACTTGGCTTCACATCATTTTTTGAAGGTGGTATCCTTCAGTAATTTGCTTCTGCATTTTTGTCAAAAGTTAGTTGAGCATGTTTGTGTGGGTTCATGTTTGCACTTTCTATTCTGTTCTATTGATGTATGTGTCCATCCCTCCGCTGTGTTTTTCTAGAAGAAAACTTGTAAATTTGGCATTGATTCTTCTTTGAATGTTAAATAGCATTCTTCAGTGAAATCATCTGTGTGAAAATTTATTTTCTATATTTTAAACATTCATTCAATTTTCTATACACAATTCACATTACCTATTTAATATTGGTTGAGTTTTTAATGTTTGTGATGTTCAAGAAATTGGTTCATTTCTTCTAAATTATCTATTATGTATATAAAGCTGGTTGGATTATTTATTAATCTTTTTAGTGGCTCCTGGATCTGCAATGACATTCCCTACTCCATTTTAGTAACGTGTCTTCTTTTGATTTTTAGTTTTGATAGAGGTAGATCAGTTTTGCTGATTATTTTTGAAGAACCATTATGTAATTAATTTTCGTATTTTCATTTTCACTAATTTCTACTCTGTCATTCTCATCCATTTGCTTTGATTCAATTTTGGTTTTTCCCTAGTTTTTTTGAGGTAGATAGGGCTATAAATATTTCTGCCAGCATTGCCATATTTATTTGTCATCTATTTTGCTTCACTGTTGTTTTTCATTAAATTCAATGTGTTTTGAATTTTTCTTCTAGACTTTCTATTGACCTCGAAGTATTTTGTAAATTTTTATATGTTTAGAGAATTCCTATAATATCTAGCATTGATTGCTAGTTTGATTCAATGATAATTATAGCTTACACATTGTATAATTTAAATTCTTTATATTGGTCAAGGTTTGTTTTATGGCTAAAGACATGGTCTTTTTGTTAAATTTTCCCCATGTGCACTTGAGAGAAAAAATGTATATTATGCTGCTGTTTGGTAGAAAGTCCCATTACTGTCAATTAGAACCTACTGGTTGGATATATTACAGATTTCCTAAACCCTTGGTGATATTCTTCTGCAGCAGTTGTATCAACTGCTGAAAATGGGATATTGCAGTGCCAGTGTATCTGTCTTTCTCTTCTCAGCATTATTCATTTTTGCTTCATGTGTCTTGCTGCTCGATGTTGGTCCACACACCTTTAGGATCATTTGTCTTCCTGGTGGGGCAAATTTTTTGTCATTATGTAATATCCTTTTTTGTCTCTACTAATTCTCTGTTTCAAGATCTATTTTATAAAATAATGAAAACATTCCTGGTCCTTTTTTGTCTGTTTTTACTATTATTATTTTAAAAATTAATTTTATTGGTATAATTTAAGTATACTACTGATCACATTCATCAAAAGGTACATGATAATATATATATATATAATATAT